ACATTCCTTCTCACTGGAAGAGAACCCCCAACCCTAAACCCTTAATTCCCAAAGTGTGAAACAAAATGACAAATTTCGCTTCATCTCCACCACCACTGGAAGAGAACCCCCAATTCGCTTCATCTCCACCGACGCAAGGTCCCCTCGAAGGGTGAAACAAAATGACAACTTTTGCTTCACTTCCACCGGCGCAAGGCCTCCTCGAACGACCCTTGATTGTGTTTTGCTCTATAATTTGGATTTTGGTTTATTTATTTATGATTGTTTTCAGAGTTGGAATTGATTTGCCAACAATTGAAGTCCGGTTTGAGAATTTGAATATTGAAGTAGAAGCTAATGTGCGAGGCAGGGTTTTGCCTACCTTTATGAGGTTATTTTCAGAGTTGGAATTGATTTGCCAACGATTGCAGTCCTGGTTATTGCTTGTGGGGCTGATATTTCCTTGTTGATGCAACTATGAAAGAAGGGAGATTGCAGTCCTGGTTATTGCTTGTGGGGCTGATAATAGAAATGAAAATGATGAAGAAGCAGGAATGAATGAATCATGGTATAGCTTGGTTTGTTTCATTTTTGTGGCTGAGTTGGTAGTAATAGAGGAGGAGCAGTTAGTTCATGGAGTTATCCATTTATTATTATCCATATTTTAAATTTTGAATTTGTATCTTTCTGTTTTCAACTCCATAACAACTTTAGTAGATAATTCAGGAACTTAGTTGTATTATGGTTTCATTTGTAATCTATAAATACTCTGCAATCAATGGAATATATGCGTGTGTGATTTACCATCTTCTCTGTTCTTTCCTACTCTTGTAGGTAGATGGGCAATATTAATGTGTAAATCAGAACTTACTTCTGATGTTATTATGTGTAAATCAGAACTTCAAATATTAATGTGTTCATTTATAATCATTTATCCAAAAACCCAATCGTCTTTCAATTTTCACAAAAAATCTTATGGTTTACGTCAATTATTGACACTTGGTAAACTACACTTGCGGGAATACTAAGTCAAAAAAATCTAAACTGAAAGGGAACTTCGACACATCAAAAGAACTTCAGAGTGCATGCTGAATTTTTCGAGAGCATCTTTTCCTGGTTTTATCAATGATGAGTGCGAATAAAGGTGCTTCAATGAATCAATCACTGGCCAAGCCAAAGAGTTTTAGTAAATTGTTAGCTGCAGGGTGAACAACTTTTACTGAAAGGAAGGACAGAGTAAATACTATTTCCTCTCCATTTATCTACACTATCCTTTCTTATCGTTTATCTTGTTTCTCATAAAGATAGGTTGATAAGAATCTGTACTCTTAGATATAGTTGAAACTCCATAAGTAAGTTTCAAATGAAAGTTGATCCAAATGATTAACTGGTTTTTTGCAAATAGTTTTTTGTCAGCAACAAACATAATTTCTAAAGATGTTTGATAAACACGGTAAATGACTGAAATCCTCCTTGCTGTACGAGGAGATAACTCTTCATTATATATACACGATAATTACAGTCGTAAATAAGGAAAGAATCAAATACAAACAGAAATGAAGCAAAAGTTGATGAAGCAAAAGAGATTATCCCTACAGCTATATAAGAGGATATTATGCCTAACAGAAAGGTAAGGCAGCATGTATCATGGAGAAATTGATTCTCCTTGCAGCACGTATCATGGAGAAATTGATTCTCCCTTATCAATTTCTTCAACCCCGTTGATTAAATTTAATCGTTTTCTCCCCATTGTCGTAGTAACTGAGATACCACTGAACGAATTTCTTCAACCTCGTCTGCAGATCCGTTGTGGGTTTGTAGCCAAGCTCCTGTCATCTTGAGTAATCTCTCCAAAATGCTCACAAGATTTGAAGCAGGAACAGGGGATGTGTTGACCAAATTGTACAGCCATAATTGAGCTGGCCCTTTCTTCTTGACCCCGCTACCAGTACTCTTCTCAGAGGTNGCTCACAAGATTTGAAACAGGAACATGGTTAATCTTTCACCTTGAGTAATCTCTCCAAAGCCACAGCAGTCTAGAAACCATCACCTAAGCCAATATGTTAAAGCCCTTACAATGGCTACTGTCTAACGTGTGCAAAATTTACAATGGCTACTGTCAAATTACAATCAGTTCAAAGCCAACTGTAAAATTATAATCGGTTCAAACAACCATCACCACCTCCAGCCCACCCCACCGCAACAACCATC